GTCTAACCTAACCTAACCTAACCTAACCTAACCTAACCTAACCTAACCTAACCTAACCTAACCTAACCTAACCTAACCTAACCTAACCTAACCTAACCTAACCTAACCTAACCTAACCTAACCCAACCTAACCTAACCTAACCTAACCTAACGTATCTATCTAACCACACGAAACCTCATATAACTTAACCTAATCCTATTTCAATCCGGCTTAAGATAATATTATTTTGGCTAAAACAAATACAAAAAGCTGAAGAAGTGATAATAATTAAACAATTAATTTAATATAGTCCTTAAACAAATGTGTAACAGTAACATGAAACATTTGTACATTAAGGTTAAAGTATTATAAAAACAGTTTAAAATTATGTAAACAACATTTCCTAAGACCATTGGATCTCTAGATAAATATTTACAACGTATAGATCTATACACAACAAATCTTTAATATTTATAATAATTAACTTAAATGTTTGGATGAATTTATAAAACAATATTTTAATGCTGATTCTTTAAGTAAATTTATCACAATAAAAGGAACTATGCACTTACTGTATAACATAAAACGTGTATTAGTGTGATCAAAATATGTGATTAGCTTTAGTTGTATAGCACAATATGTGATTAGCTTCAGTCATATCGTTCTATGTAATTAGCTGCAGATGTAGAGCGCAGTATCTCATTAACCCACTATGTCATGGTTTTCAAAATGATACGGCTATTCTGTATAAATTTTATATGAGTAGAAGTTTGGGTTAAAATATGTTTTTGTGTTCCATGACATGTGCAGCATTATAAAACTAAAATATAATGGTATTGTGTTCATAATATACCTTTTTTGTTATCTTGCATTCACACATAAAAACCAATATAGCTTTACTGTCTACCACATAGGCCCTACACCTTTGAAAATCTACTGAGGAAAGTTATAACAAGAAAATTCAGATGGTATGGGCTAAACAATAATTCAAGGCACTGTGTCAGGCAGGAGAAGAAGGGAAAAGCAAAGACGCCATTGAATGGAGGACATAAAGATTGGACTGGGCTGACTGTTGCAGAACTACCCAGAGCAGCAGAGGACAACAGAGACAGATGGTAGCAGGGGACCACAGAGCCAGATGGTAGCAGGGGACCACAGAGACAGATGGTAACAGGGGACCACAGAGACAGATGGTAGCAGGGGACCACAGAGACAGATGGTAACAAGGGACCACATAGACAGATGGTAACAGGGGACCACATAGACAGATGGTAACAGGGGACCACAGAGACAGATGGTAGCAGGGGACCACAGAGACAGATGGTAGCAGGGGACCACAGAGACAGATGGTAGCAGGGGACCACAGAGACAGATGGTAGCAGGGGACCACAGAGACAGATGGTAGAAGACCACAGAGACAGATGGTAACAGAAGACCACATAGACAGATGGTAGAAGACCACAGAGACAGATGGTAGCAGGGGACCACAGAGACAGATGGTAGAAGACCACAGAGACAGATGGTAGCAGGGGACCACAGAGACAGATGGTAACAGGGGACCACAGAGACAGATGGTAACAGGGGACCACAGAGACAGATGGTAGAAGACCACAGAGACAGATGGTAACAGGGGACCACAGAGACAGATGGTAGCAGGGGACCACAGAGACAGATGGTAACAGGGGACCACATAGACAGATGGTAGAAGACCACAGAGACAGATGGTAGCAGGGGACCACAGAGACAGATGGTAACAGGGGACCACAGAGACAGATGGTAGCAGGGGACCACAGAGACAGATGGTAGCAGGGAACCACAGAGACAGATGGTAGCAGGGGACCACAGAGACAGATGGTAGCAGGGGACCACAGAGACAGATGGTAACAGGGGACCACAGAGACAGATGGTAGCAGGGGACCACATAGACAGATGGTAGCAGGGGACCACAGAGACAGATGGTAGCAGGGAACCACAGAGACAGATGGTAGCAGGGGACCACAGAGACAGATGGTAGCAGGGGACCACAGAGACAGATGGTAGCAGGGGACCACAGAGACAGATGGTAGCAGGGGACCACAGAGACAGATGGTAGCAGGGGACCACAGAGACAGATGGTAGAAGACCACAGAGACAGATGGTAACAGGGGACCACATAGACAGATGGTAGAAGACCACAGAGACAGATGGTAGCAGGGGACCACAGAGACAGATGGTAGAAGACCACAGAGACAGATGGTAGCAGGGGACCACAGAGACAGATGGTAACAGGGGACCACAGAGACAGATGGTAACAGGGGACCACAGAGACAGATGGTAGAAGACCACAGAGACAGATGGTAACAGGGGACCACAGAGACAGATGGTAGCAGGGGACCACAGAGACAGATGGTAGCAGGGGACCACAGAGACAGATGGTAGAAGACCACAGAGACAGATGGTAACAGGGGACCACATAGACAGATGGTAGAAGACCACAGAGACAGATGGTAGCAGGGGACCACAGAGACAGATGGTAGCAGGGGACCACAGAGACAGATGGTAGCAGGGGACCACAGAGACAGATGGTAGCAGGGAACCACAGAGACAGATGGTAGCAGGGGACCACAGATGCAGATGGTAGCAGGGGACCACAGAGACAGATGGTAGCAGGGGACCACAGAGACAGATGGTAACAGGGGACCACATAGACAGATGGAATGCTGACATATAGGCACCAAATCAATATTTTATTACATTATATGACCATATTTTAATTTATTTCTAAAAAGTTCAAAACAGTATTTTTGGAACATTTTCTTTTAAAATAGGTACACAAAATGTTTGTTGTTCATCGCTGGAAATATAATACAAAATATTAAATGATAGAATAAGAATTGGGGTGGTTCCAAAATGAATGGTTTTTTTTTTTTTTTTTTTAATAATATGTCATGATACAACATTAAAAAACTGATGGTTCAAAGATTTTGTTGCATAAACATCAAGGTCACATTTTAAAAGTATAATTAAATGAAGTTTATAAGATTTCATTAGAGCTGTTAATTTTTTTTAGAAGTCATCAGCTATCCCCAATTTGAAGAACACTATAAACAATTACCGTTACAACATTATTTTTGAAAGACTTAAGAGAACATTTCAATGCAAAACATAACTGTATGCAAGCAAATCTACATGTGTAATAAAAAATATTACAAACGATATATGCAAGCAAATCTACAAGTGTAATCAAAAACATTCTAAATGAACATTTAAAAAAACGTGTACCAGCAGATGACAATTAAGCAAAAATATAATAACTATATAGTGAGCAAAATACTAATCAACATAACAATGCTATGGTTAATTCAGAAGACAATTTTTCCAGAAGTCTTCTAATCTTTAATGGGATACATAATTTAAAATAATTCATTTAAGTATGTCTACTTGCTGTGTAGTTCATTCAAGTATGTCTACTTGCTATGTATTTCATTCAAGTATGTCTACTTGCTATGACTTATATTGCCCTCTCCTATGAAAACTGCAATGCATAATACAATGCAGAATGTGATGTAATTATAATTTTAAAAGGTAAAGTCAGCTCAAAGTATTACTAAATGTTATCCCAATGCTCCCAATAGAATGCCACCAAAATAAAGGAATAATATATTCTCTCTTCATATCCATGAAAATTTTCCTTCATATTTTGAACTACCATAACGAGGAAGTAAATAATATGTTAGATAATTAGACGATTACAAGAGAATTTCATTACCAGTTGGTAATGATATATCTGTAAGTTGAACTATGATATTATATCTGGATGTGGGACTGAGGTGTTATATCTGGAAGTGTGACTGAGGTGTTATATCTGGAAGTGTGACTGAGGTGTTATATATGGAAGTGTGACTGAGGTGTTATATCTGGATGTGGGATGAGGTGTTATATCTGGAAGTGTGACTGAGGTGTTATATATGGAAGTGTGACTGAGGTGTTATATCTGGATGTGGGATGAGGTGTTATATCTGGAAGTGTGACTGAGGTGTTATATCTGGAAGTGTGACTGAGGTGTTATATCTGGATGTGGGATGAGGTGTTATATCTGGAAGTGTGACTGAGGTGTTATATCTGGAAGTGTGACTGAGGTGTTATATCTGGATGTGGGATGAGGTGTTATATCTGGAAGTGTGACTGAGGTGTTATATATGGAAGTGTGACTGAGGTGTTATATCTGGAAGTGTGACTGAGGTGTTATATCTGGAAGTGTGACTGAGGTGTTATATATGGAAGTGTGACTGAGGTGTTATATCTGGATGTGGGACTGAGGTGTTATATCTGGAAGTGTGACTGAGGTGTTATATATGGAAGTGTGACTGAGGTGTTATATCTGGAAGTGTGACTGAGGTGTTATATCTGGATGTGACTGAGGTGTTATATCTGGAAGTGTGACTGAGGTGTTATATCTGGATGTGGGATGAGGTGTTATATATGGAAGTGTGACTGAGGTGTTATATCTGGAAGTGTGACTGAGGTGTTATATCTGGAAGTGTGACTGAGGTGTTATATCTGGAAGTGTGACTGAGGTGTTATATCTGGAAGTGTGACTGAGGTGTTATATCTGGAAGTGTGACTGAGGTGTTATATCTGGAAGTGTGACTGAGGTGTTATATCTGGATGTGGGATGAGGTGTTATATCTGGAAGTGTGACTGAGGTGTTATATATGGAAGTGTGACTGAGGTGTTATATCTGGAAGTGTGACTGAGGTGTTATATATGGAAGTGTGACTGAGGTGTTATATATGGAAGTGTGACTGAGGTGTTATATCTGGAAGTGTGACTGAGGTGTTATATCTGGAAGTGTGACTGAGGTGTTATATCTGGAAGTGTGACTGAGGTGTTATATCTGGATGTGGGACTGAGTTGTTATATCTGGAAGTGTGACTGAGTTGTTATATCTGGAAGTGTGACTGAGGTGTTATATCTGGAAGTGTGACTGGTGTGTTATATCTGTAAGTTGAACTATGATATTATATCTGGATGTGACTGAGGTGTTATATCTGGATGTGGCTGGGTGTTATATCTGGAAGTGTGACTGAGGTGTTATATCTGGACTTGTGACTGAGGTGTTAAGTCTGGAAGTGGAACTGTGGTGTTATATCTGGAAGTGGGACTGGGGTGTTCTAACGAATTTCTTAGCGGTAACAAATATTAATTTACATTCAAGTAGTTTATAGAGAATGTTTAACAGCAGTCAATTTTTCAATACTTAAAGTAATCTATCGTTTTAGGTACGTAAAAGCGGCCGAGGCTAGTTCGAGAAAGGTGGCTCATAAACATGGCTTTAATACAAGTATACAAAGTATTATGGTTTGTGTCAAATATAATAGATAACTGAATAATAAAATAAACGCTATGTCTAAATATATCAATAAAGGCTGGAGATTAACTTTAAAATTCTTGTTTGCGAGCAAGATTTCTTATACAAAATGCGGCCATCTGTAAATTTGAGTGGTTTCCACCGAATCTCTTGTTAAAATGTTACAAAAAAAAATATGGCTTGATTGCATCTGATGAAAACAACGCTAATCTTTATTGATTAAAAAAACATAAATCTTTCTAGACATGTGAAATAATTACAAAAAATTGATGAGTCACATTTTTTTTCACTTGACTAGATCTACTCTCAGCCGATTTTACGTACTTAATACGATAGATTATCCTAATTTTATATAGCTTCCTTAATTCAAATCCAAAACTTGAGTTGTGGAACTTATGAAGTTCTGTATAAGCGTTAAATACTCTCTACACTTCTTGATTTTCAACTGGTGGTAGATTATAATCCTGAAAAAAAAAAGTTAAAAATAAAACCACAAAGAAACGTGTGTACTTGTTAATCATTTTTAAATAAGTAAAGCAGGAGTTATCTCCCCGAAATGTTCTTGAATATTCTTGTATAACACTACGGTGGATGGTAACTCGGGATATAGACATGATTTTTTAATCAATTTTTAATAGTTAAACTTTCAAAAATAGAATAGAATATCGTAAAAAAGGGAATATCGCACTAAGTGAACAGCAAACGATTTGTGTATAATATTGCGGAACATTAATACCCTATAAATTCATTAAATGCGGTTTTTGAGAAAAAGGAAATAGCGCAAAGTACTATTTTCGTTCATCGGAATTCAGTCTAAATTTGAAAGAAAACAGGATTAAATCTTTTATATATATATGTGAAATTTCATCGATCCATCAGAACCAGTACTCAAGTTATAAGCTTTTGATAACCCGAAAGTAGAATACGTTCCACTTCCGGTTACCGGAAAGCGCTGAAAAGTTGAGACAGAACACAAATTGATATCACTCAAATATAAAATATCATCAACATAGCTGTAATGTTACTCAAGTTATCATGTTCATGACACACACATACAAGCACACATAAAACCGCAGACACACAGACAAAATTGCAAAACTAAGTTTTTCTGACTCAAGGGATGTGTAAAACATCGAGATTAGCGTGCGCGATTACAATACTTCATCGATACTGTAGAATAGAAGTAGTGTTTCTTCCAGACTTTATTCTCCGGGGGGCACTTGATATTATCGGGGGGAGGGGGCGGACATTTTCCGGGGGGGGGGGGGTATCTTAGCGCATTGAAAAGGTATGAGAGTATGTGTGTTGTGGAATGATTTATATTTTAATAAAACTTTGTAACTGTGTGACAAGTTACGTAAGGATGTGACGTTTGAGAGTATGATCTTGTTACTGGGGGAAATAGGTTACGACAGTCTTCGTTATGTTGTGCTAGGGTGTGAAGGTATTCGTCTGTCCTCGTGAATATAGTATTTGTATACGTTGTGAAAGTTGTCGTTCGTATCTATTTAGCCAGTGCAATAACCCAAGGATTGAAACTATCCGATCCTGTTGAGTCATTCGTATCATATCGTCATTACTGATACATTCATAAACGACGACCCCCGTCCTACACTCGCAACAAATACTATTTTAAAATACTTTTAAATTTTCCAATCAAACATTAATTATTTTATTTTACCTGTAAAACACGATTTTCATCAAGAAATTCTATCTTTGGAGATTTGAGATTTATTCGTGAAAAATCCCTGTAGTAAGTAAGTACAAATGTGACAATAAAGACAGCAGTTAGCCATTCAGATACTGTTGAAACAAGATAGACACCACGCAGAGCATCCTGAGAAACAAAAATCAGAATTGTGAAAAAAATAGTATTAAATAATAATGAGACAGTTGGGTGTAAAGGAGTTGTAATTCCATTACGCCATTGCCCGCATAAGTAAACTTGCCTCACATGTAATCTGCGACATCTGTGTCGTCAAGGCTCTAAGTTTCAGAACTTTTGATTAAAATAACATTTGACTGATAATGTAATATAGGGATTTGATATTTTCGTTATCATCCATTAATACTAATAGTTTCGCTGTCTGTCTATCTATCTATCTATCTGACAAGAACGCTATAGAGAAAACACAAGCAATTTAAAAACGTTCACAGTGAAACGAAAACGAAATATGACGTCAAGCCGGAGAGTGCACACAGTAATATGACGTCATTGATTCTCGAGTAAACATTGAATAAAAAGGCAATTTTGTCTAATCTAAATGGTTTGCGTGAAGAGTTTCTTGCATACAATTCTTCGGGAAGGGGCGAAGCCCCCCCCCCCCCCGCGTAAGAACGTGTGAGCACCCCCCCCCCCCCCCCACCTCCCCAACTCAAAAGAAATTTCTTCATCGATACTCTATAATAAAATTACCGCCTAATTAATGTGTCTAATCTAAAAAGTGGTTTTCTTGCAATTTCTTTAATGCAATTCTTCGGGTAGTGGCTAAGCGCGACACCAGTGTTTCTTTCAGACTTTTTCCTCCCCGGAGAGGGGTGGGGGTACTTGAAATTTTCGGGGGCGGGGGTAGAATTTTCGGGGGAGGGGGCGGACACTGGAAAAAGTATATAATTATATTTCGTTGAATGGGACGGTAGACATGTTTTTGGGGGGGGGGGGGTGGGTGGGTGGGGTGGGGGGTGTGTGTGTGGGGGGGGGGGGGTGGGGTGGGGTGGTCTTTAGTTTAGAGAAAAGAAACAGCACTATCAACCTAGCGCCCGTTGTATCCTTCCTCAACGGGCCATTTTTCTCGTTAATAGTATAAAATGGCCTAAATAATAATTGTGAGTTAAACTTTTCCAAGATGTCCGTTAAGTCTATGGCGTGTAAACTTACCGTGTGAATGTGCTAAGACTATCTAAACTTGTTATTATTGAAAGAGGGTTCGCGCTGGGACGCTGTGTAACCTGTCTTTCAATTTAAAAGGCTTTTTTACTCTCTATTTTTCATAGAGTCAGAGATTAAATTATTAAATGTAAATCATATACTCTTAAGAAACAGTGACCGGCAAAACCACTTTCCAACTTTACCTAGATTGGGGTGGGGGGGGGGCGCTTTTTCGAGACTAAAATCGGAAGAATTTATACTAAATTGGTGAGTCGATAAATGATACCACTTATACAAGAAACAAATTGTATTAAAACGTATTGTACGATTGTTTAACCGTAAAATTCGTTAGTGACTAATATCAAAATGGTGCGGGGGGGGGGGGGTGCTTTTAGGCTAAATAAAATCGCAAAATGACACCGGATTTTGAGTAAACAACCTTTAGCACCTAGAAAAGAAACTAATTGCACTAAAGTGCAAAGTACGATTGTGTAACATTTAAAATAAACCGGGAGTGATCTCCCCAAAACTTTCTCGAATATTCTTGTATAAAATAACAGGGGATGGGAACTCGGGCTATAGACATGATTTTTAATCCATTTTAAATACTTAAAGGTTTAAAAATAGAATAAAATCTCGTAGACAAAAGAATTGCACACCAATTGAACGCCAAATAAAAAAGTGCATAATAGTGCGCAATATTATTAGTACTTTAAAAATTTACATTAGTTTTTTGAGAAATCGGAAGTAGCGTAAATTACTACTTCCGTTCAACGGAAATTACTCAAAATTTAACAGAAGGTAGAGAATTAGATCTTTTACTTACATGTGTAATTTCATTTATCTATCTGAAATAGTACTCAAAAATTCAAAGTAGGAAAAGTACCACTTCCGGTTATCGGAAATCGCTCAAAAGTCGATACGGATCTACGATTTTGATAAAATACTTATATATGAAATTTCATCAACTTAGCTGTAACGGTACTCAAGTAATCGTGTTTACACACGGACAGACAGACAGACAGACACACAGACGCACAGACATACGGACAAGATCGCAAAATTATGTTTTTCCGTATCAGTGAGTTGTAAAACGTCGAGATTTGTAAAAATCTCGATTTTTTTTTGCACGATTACAATACTTTCTCTATACTTCGTATATACGAGAAAGTATAAAAGTGGGAGCGCTTTTTTCGCGAACAAAAATCGCAAGGTATTTGTACTGGATTAGTGAGTAGAAAACTCTTTAAACACTTAGAAAAGAAACCAAGTGTATTAACGCGTAATGTACAATTCCACTAGCCAGTTTTGTTAAGAAATGACGCGACTAGAGATTTTGTAAGATTTGTTTGATTCTCTCAACTTCAACGTGAGATATCAGATACTTTTACTTGATTGTGTTACATCTTGCCTGGATCACTGTATTAAAGAGAACAAAATATCACGGATTCTCCAATCGCTATCCGATCAGTAAAATAGCATACGGTCGGAGCGGGTGGGTGGAAGACGATACTCGTGCCAAATTGAAAGTTCGCCCCGGGCGCCGGGAAGGGTCGCTACGCCTCTGCCCCTCCCCCCGTCAACAAAAGTCGATTTTCCTTGAACCCCCCGCTATTTTGTGTGGACGTCATAAATGGATAACCCCAAACAAACTGTAATATTGAGAAATGTCAAGTAATGTGTAGGTTAATTTTTAGAATCACGTGCTGAAATGCTGTATATATATATACATATATATTGCACATATATATATATATATATATATATATATATATATATATATATATATATATATATATATATATTCATATATATCATATATATAGCATATATAAATATACAGAAACAAGAAGGTCCGCGTGGCAATCAGTCACAGTAGCAAGTTGACGCAAGTGCGCTAAAGCCGTAATCTTTAAATTAAAATATGAAACAGCACATCTTTACAACCCCCCCCCCCCCAACAAAAAAAAAAGAACGCTCTATGACTATGCAACTGTAATGAAGTTTTTCTTACCCACTTTGTTCCTTTATTCTGAGCCTCAAGAATCTTGAAAACTACCTTACTTATAAAAACTGAATAAAATCAAGGATTTATTAATTTTTCTTTCAATTAAAAAGTGCTTCATGGTCTAATATTCTCATTTAATTTTACAAAACTTTAAAAGAAAACTGAGATAAATATAAATAATACAAAAAATCTGAGTGTCAGAAATATTTTGTTTATACCAGTTAATATTACTATTGTTTTATATTATTGCACTCAAAAACACTCTTATGGTATGCATACTAAGTACCGTTTGATTTATTTTTGTTATTAAAAAAGGATACAAAGCAACAGGCAGACAGACAAAAAAATACTGTTTGCTGTTTGGGCTATAGCAACTTTAGACCACTTGTCATAATTAAGTGTAAGAGATGTTTGCATCCAACAGTAAACCAAACCGCCAAAGAATGCAAGAACTGCTCCCGTGTAGTGAACCTCTCTCATGACAATTGTCTACAAAAGTAAAGTTCAAATGTATTTAATTCAATAAGTTTAACGAGAGGGTCTTTTCCAGCCCGGACATTCTTGCCAGCTAAAAATTAATGCATGCACGCAACCTTGAGGGTTAGGGTTAAAGATGACCACTAACTCACCCGTAGAGTGGCCACTAACCCACCCATGGTGTAGCCACTAATCCACCCATAGTGTAGCCACTAATCCACCCATAGTGTAGCCACTAATCCACCCATAGTGTAGCCACTAATCCACCCATAGTGTAGCTACTAATCCACCCATAGTGTAGCCACTAATTCACCCATAGTGTAGCCACTAACCCACCCATAGTGTAGCCACTAATCCACCCATAGTGTAGCCACAAATCCACCCATAGTGTAGCCACTAATCCACCCATAGTGTAGCCACTAAAACACCCATAGTGTAGCCACTAATCCACTCATAGTGTAGCCACTAATCCACCCATAGTGTAGCCACTAACCCTCCCATACTGCGGCCACTAATCCACCCATAGTGTAGCCACTAATCCACCCATAGTGTAGCCACTAACCCACCCACAGTGTAGCCACTAATCCACCCATAGTGTAGCCACTAATCCACCCATTGTGTAGCCTATAATCCACCCATAGTGTAGCCACTAACCCACCCATAGTACGGCCACTAACCCACCCATACTGCGGCCACTAATCCACCCACAGTGTAGCCACTAATCTACCCATAGTGTAGCCACTAATCCGCCAATAGTGTAGCCACTAATCCACCCATAGTGTAGCTACTAACCCACCCATAGTGTAGCCACTAATCCACCCATAGTGTAGCCACTAATCCACCCATAGTGTAGCCACTAATCCGCCAATAGTGTAGCCACTAATCCACCCATAGTGTAGCCACTAATCCACCCATAGTGTAGCCACTAATCCACCCATAGTGTAGCCACTAATCCACCCATAGTGTAGCCACTAACCCACCCATACTACGGCCACTAACCCACCCATACTGCGGCCACTAATCCACCCACAGTGTAGCCACTAATCCACCATAGTGTAGCCACTAATCCACCCATAGTGTAGCCACTAACCCACCCATAGTGTAGCCACTGACCCACCCACAGTGTAGCCACTAATCCACCCATAGTGTAGCCACTAATCCGCCAATAGTGTAGCCACTAATCCACCCATAGTGTAGCCACTAATCCAACCATAGTGTTGCCACTAATCCACCCATAGTGTAGCCACTAATCTACCCATAGTGTAGCCACTAATCCACCCATAGTGTAGCCACTAATCCACCCATAGTGTAGCCACTAACCCACCCACAGTGTAGCCACTAATCCACCCATGGTGTAGCCACTAATCCACCCATTGTGTAGCCACTAATCCAACCATAGTGTAGCCACTAACCCACCCATAGTACGGCCACTAACCCACCCATACTGCGGCCACTAATCCACCCACAGTGTAGCCACTAATCTACCCATAGTGTAGCCACTAATCCGCCAATAGTGTAGCCACTAATCCACCCGTAGAGTGGCCACTAACCCACCCACAGTGCGGCTACTAACCCACCCGTAGAGTGGCCACTAACCCACCCAGTGTAGCCACTAATCCACCCATAGTGTAGCCACTAATCCACCCAAAGTGTAGCCACTAATCCACCCATAGTGTAGCAACTAACCCTCCCATACTGCGGCCACTAATCCACCCACAGTGTAGCCACTAATTCACCCATAGTGTAGCCACTAACCCACCCATAGTGTAGCCACTAACCCACCCATAATGTAGCCACTAATCCACCCAAAGTGTAGCCACTAATCCACCCATAGTGTAGCCACTAACCCTCCCATACTGCGGCCACTAATCCACCCATAGTGTAGCCACTAATTCACCCATAGTGTAGCCACTAATCCACCCACAGTGTAGCCACTAATCCACCCATAGTGTAGCCACTAATCCACCCATAGTGTAGCCTTTAATCCACCCATAGCGTAGCTACTAATCCACCCATAGTGTAGCCACTAATCCACCCATAGTGTAGCCACTAATCCACCCATAGTGTAGCCACTAAAACACCCAAAGTGTAGCCACTAATCCACTCATAGTGTAGCCACTAATCCACCCATAGTGTAGCCACTAACCCTCCCATACTGCGGCCACTAATCCACCCATAGTGTAGCCACTAATCCACCCATAGTGTAGCCACTAATCTACCCATAGTGTAGCCACTAATCCGCCAATAGTGTAGCCACTAATCCACCCATAGTGTAGCCACTAACCCACCCATAGTGTAGCCACTAATCCACCCATAGTGTAGCCACTAATCCACCCATAGTGTAGCCACTAATCCGCCAATAGTGTAGCCACTAATCCACCCATAGTGTAGCCACTAATCCACCCATAGTGTAGCCACTAATCCACCCATAGTGTAGCCACTAATCCACCCATAGTGTAGCCACTAACCCACCCATACTACGGCCACTAACCCACCCATACTGCGGCCACTAATCCACCCACAGTGTAGCCACTAATCCACCATAGTGTAGCCACTAATCCAACCATAGTGTAGCCACTAATCCAACCATAGTGTAGCCACTAATCCACCCATAGTGTAGCCACTAACCCACCCAGTGTAGCCACTAATCCACCCATAGTGTAGCCACTAATCCACCCAAAGTGTAGCCACTAACCCACCCATAGTGTAGCCACTAATCCACCCATAGTGTAGCCACTAACCCACCCATAATGTAGCCACTAATCCACCCATACTGCGGCCACTAATCCAACCATAGTGTTGCCACTAATCCACCCATAGTGTAGCCACTAATTCACCCATAGTGTAGCCACTAATCCACCCACAGTGTAGCCACTAATCCACCCATAGTGTAGCCACTAATCCACCCATAGTGTAGCCACTAATCCACCCATAGTGTAGCTACTAATCCACCCATAGTGTAGCCACTAATCCACCCATAGTGTAGCCACTAATCCACCCATAGTGTAGCCACTAAAACACCCAAAGTGTAGCCACTAATCCACTCATAGTGTAGCCACTAATCCACCCATAGTGTAGCCACTAATCCACCCATAGTGTAGCCACTAATCTACCCATAGTGTAGCCACTAATCCGCCAATAGTGTAGCCACTAATCCACCCATAGTGTAGCCACTAACCCACCCATAGTGTAGCCACTAATCCACCCATAGTGTAGCCACTAATCCACCCATAGTGTAGCCACTAATCCGCCAATAGTGTAGCCACTAATCCACCCATAGTGTAGCCACTAATCCACCCATAGTGTAGCCACTAACCCACCCATACTGCGGCCACTAATCCACCCACAGTGTAGCCACTAATCCACCCATAGTGTAGCCACTAATCTACCCATAGTGTAGCCACTAATCCGCCAATAGTGTAGCCACTAATCCACCCATAGTGTAGCCACTAACCCACCCATAGTGTAGCCACTAATCCACCCATAGTGTAGCCACTAATCCACCCATAGTGTAGCCACTAATCCGCCAATAGTGTAGCCACTAATCCACCCATAGTGTAGCCACTAATCCACCCATACTACGGCCACTAACCCACCCATACTGCGGCCACTAATCCACCCACAGTGTAGCCACTAATCCACCCATAGTGTAGCCACTAATCCGCCAATAGTGTAGCCACTAAAACACCCATAGTGTAGCCACTAATCCACCCATAGTGTGGACACCAACTTGTACGTTGAACGGTGCCCTGTCAAAACGGCCCGGGACAAATCAGCCCCGTCAAAACGGCCCCGTTAATTTGACCCCGTCAAATCGACCCCCGACAAAACGACCCAGTCAAAATAGCCCCGTCAAAAGGGCCCCGACTTATTGGCTCCCGTCAAATGGGCTCCCGATATTTAGGCTCCCGACAAATGGACTCCCGACATATTAACCCCTGACAAATAGGCTCAGGACATATTGGCTCCCGACAAAGCGGCTCCCGACATATTGGCTCCCGACATAAAGGCTCAAGACAAATGGGCTCCCGGCAAATGGGCTCACGACATATTGGCTACCGACAAATGGGCTCCCGACATATTGGCTCCAGGCAATTGGGCTCCCGACATATTGGCTTTTGACAAAATGACTCCCGACATATTGGCTCCAGACCAATGAATGACCATTATTGGCATAAAAGTAACCATTTTGTCCTACCTCCAATACCACTATAAATTCTTTTGAATGCCCGAACGAAATTGTTTTTCATGAACCAACATTAATTCACAAACAAACCGAGCCAATTCTAAAGTTTTGATAATGTTTAATTTACAACAGAAAAGATCTGTTGCTTAAAAGCGAGCACAGAAGTGTAAATGTATGATATACATGATGTTTACATGACAACAGCATCTTGTTTTGATAACCTACAAGCATACTGCAGGTAGGAAGGTATAGCGTGGACCCTTCTCCCCACACACTGAGTTGGAACAGCCTATCGACTCAATTATGGATGTCATAGATTGATGACCCTTAAATTAAAACATACTATATTTTATAATAGATAAACTAATATAAAAATAAGGCCTGCCGAACAAGAGATGCATACGCAAAAATATTTTTATCTATATCTATATCTATATCCAGTGGCGTAGCGAGGTCTGGTGTCACCCGGTGCGGCACTTAATGGTGTCACCCCCCAGAGGCGCTACGACCCTTCCCGGGGACAAACTTTCAATTTTCGATTTACACCCCCCTCAAACTTTCGATTTGCACCCCCCCCCTCAAACCTTCGATTTACACCCCCCCCCCCTCAAACTTTCGATTTGCACCCCCCACCCAGTGGCGGAACTAGAAAAAATGGGCCACCCCGCAAAAAAATTTTTTGGGCCCCCCATATATGTATATATATATATATATATATATATATATATATATATATATATATATATATATATATATATATATATATATATATATACAATACGAACATAGGATACTCATTTCTGGCCTGATATATATATATATATATATATATATATATATATATATATATATATATATATATATATATATATATATATATATATATACAATACGAACATAGGATACTCATTTCTGGCCTGATCGGGTTTTGAAAAAAAAAATCAATTAAATCTAATCACAACAACATGTCATGTGTATCAGTGGCGGAACTAGAAAAAATAACCTTCTGATTTAGGGGAGGGGGGATTAACAAAAAGCCAGACCCTCACACGCCCCCACCTCAATGACTATTAATAATGTTCAATTAATTCTAAACGTTCTAATAAATTTCTAAATAATTATATAAAAAATAATCTTACCTGCCCTGTTTTGTGAATTAGATGTGCCTAATACTATGAAAGTAAATTAATATGTGTTGACTAGATCTAGTGCTGTCTAGTGTCTGACAAAATGTGCTGAAGTGGTGAATCGTACGGTTAGGAAGTAGTTCATAAACGATACATTTATCTCCTCGATACTTGTGAGGTTGAGAAAGAGGGATGGGATAGGGGTCGGCTCGGGAAAAAAACTTGAAAGAGACAACAAAACGCCTTGATCTATGTACGTCAGCATCGCCCATTGTAAAACTTACTCAGGGGAGATAATTTGAAGTATAGGCCTTAAAAGTTTACTATATTTCTTGTAAAATCAAAAACAAGTAAACGTATATAAAACTGAAGTTTCTAGTATTATATTATTTTTTTAAAATTATTTGTACGATACAAGATAGTACCGGATACAAATTCAACCACTATCACAAACACATATTTTAATATTGAAAAATGTACAATGGATTTCGGGTCCCTTACCAATGCCGCAAATAAGAACCGCGCATCATGAAAGCCCACTTCATATGTAGCGGCTTTTCGTGCTATGGACTTTGTTTTTTTTTTTTAAAAGAATTTTGCCGGCGACAGCGTGTGTTTAATTGTAGGGAAATAGAACTCGGCCTTGACGATGGTTAAAAAATACAACTATAAATAACTGTTTTAAATATGTAAAAAAATTGTCGACAATTTTTTAACCCCCTTTTTGGTCCCCATCCCCTGCCCCATCCGCCACAGTACACTTTGGAGGATCGGTCAAACAGTTACGTGTCCTCTTTTTAGCTATCAAAGGGAGGGGGGGGGGGGGGCAACGAGTCAAAGAAGTCATTCAAAATTTGAAGAGTTGCCTATATTTTACACTGTAGTTTGTGTAATGGATTTTATCTTTTGTGGAAGAGCGTGGTATAGTGACTGTAGAATAAAAATAATCGTACCGCAGCTACAGTGTTTTTCTTTTACAAACCAAATATTAAGGCAAAAGTTAAATTCAAAATTTAAAAAAAAAAATTAATTTTGGTCAGCCGTGGGCCCCTAAACGGCCTGCCCCGCCCCCCCCCCCTTCCCGCGCATTGCGGGGTCTGGCGGGACTGTAGTTCCGCCCCTGTTCATCAGGTAAATGAACAACTACTGACTAGTGTCTTTAATAAAATGTGCAGAACTGGTCAGTTTACAGTTCATAGACGGTTCGTTAATCTATGCATTACATCTTATTGTAAGAGTAAGGGCAGTGGTGAGGGGTAGAGGTGAGGGGTAGGGGGCAGGGGGGGGGGGGGAGAGTTGGGAAGGGAGGCGGACAAGAAAGCGCCGATAAACATCTACATCAATAGTGCCGACTTTTTCCGATCGTCTAGAAGACCAGGATAGTCGCCTCGCCGCAACATTTCCCCAGCCCGATTTCAAAGCGTGCCGGCACAGTCAAATTTCAGATGCTTCGTCTTTGAAGTTGTCTATATGTCTGGCGGTCTCTCGAGTTATAGTCTGTGCATTTTTCTCAAAGACGTTTGCCGACTATCGTGTTTGTTTGTAACTGTAGAAGAAAGATAACTCGACCTCCACCTATTTTTTTTTTGTGTTAATTTTTTTAAAAATAATTTAGCCAGGATTTTTGGGCCCCCAATTGGTCTGGGCCCCCCCGCATTGCGGGGTCTGGCGGCACTGTAGTTCCGCCCCTGCCCCCACCTCTTAAAAGGCTATTTAACACTCTAATTAATCACTCTATTAAGTGGAATTATCATTTTTCTCTATATATTTTGCTATTTTTTGCCTTGGTGTCACCCCCCTAAATAGTGTCACCCGGTGCGGTCCGCACCCCCTCGCTACGCACCTGTCTATATCTATATCTATATCTATATCTATATCTATATCTATGTCTATGTCTATGTCTATGTCTATGTCTATGTCTATGTCTAAGTCTATGTCTATGTCTATGTCTATGTCTATGTCTATGTCTATGTCTATATCTATATCTATATCTATATCTATAGCTATATCTATAGCTATATCTATAGCTATAGCTATAGCTATAGCTATAGCTATATCCATATCCATATCCATATCCACATCCACATCCACATCCACATCCACATCCACATCCACATCCACATCCACATCCACATCCACATCCACATCCACATCCACATCCACATCTACATCTACATCTATATCTATATCTATATTTATATCTATATCTATATCTATAGTTATATCTATATCATATTCAATGAGACCGCTTTGCCGGGCGACTTAGTCTCTACAGAAACGGTATTGTCAGTGGTCCTTTTGTCTGGAGCCAAATTGATAGGAGCCTTTTTGTCGTGAGCCAAAATGACGCTAGCCTATTTGACGGGAGTCGTAATGACGGGGGCCGTTTTGTGGAGAAACTAAATGGCGAGAGCCTATTTGTCGGGAGTCGTAATGACGGGAGCCTTATTGACTGGAGCCCTTTTGTCGGGAGCCTATATAACGGGAATCTATTTGTCGGTAGCCTAAATGACGGGAGCCTATTTGTCGGGAGCCTATATGACGGGGTCCATAGGTCGCTGGCCCTTTTGACGGGGCCGATTTGACGGGGTCGTTTTGACGGGGCCGTTTTGTCGGGGTCGTTTTGACGGGGCCGTTTCGTCATTGGCCGAATTGACGCAGCACGATATATATATATATATATATATATATATATATATATATATATATATATATATATATATATATATATATATATATATATATATATATGTGTGTGTGTGTGTGTGTGTGTGTCGGCCTACATAGGCCTAAAATTTATATATATGCCACATACTGGTACACGTACGTGTACAAGCTTTAATCACTGCAGACTTAATAGTAACGATGTTAATCTACAGTCTGTTTATAATACAGTTGGATTTAGCATTGTTTTCTTTATAGTTTACGTTTACGTCGTGGTGCCACACCCCCCCCCCCCCCTCTTGATATAATTTTTTATTTGTACTTAGAAGACTATTTAACTTTAACTAATGGATCTGGAAAAATGGCATTCCATTCTATAAATTTTGCATTTTTTTGCCTTTGGTTTCACCCCCCTAAATGGTGTCACCCGTTGCGGTCCGCACCCCCCGCCCCGCCTTCGCTACGCCTCTGCGTTATGCTACAGAGGAGTTAAACGAAGTTAAACAAATATTAAAATTCCATTGTAAAAGTTTTAATTTTTTATGAGGGAAAAGGGCCCTTATGTGTCTTGGGCCCCTATGCCTTGCTTACGCTAGCTTTACGGTAGCTACGCCACTGTGTCAGTGTTCCTTTTGTCTGAAGCCAAATTGACAGGAGCCTTTTTGTCGGGAGTCGTAATGACGTGGGCCGTTTTGTGGAAAAAACTAAATGACGGGAGCCTATATGTCAGGAGCCTTATTGACTGGAGCCTTTTTTGTCGGGAGCCTATATAACGGGAGCCTATTTGTCGGTAGCCTAAATGACGGGAGCCTAAATGACGGGGTCCATATGTCGCTGGCCCTTTTGACGTGGTCATTTTAACGGGGCCTATTTGTCGGGGCCGATTTGTCGGGGTCGTTTTGACGTGGCCGTTTTGTCATTGGCCGTTTTGACGCCGCACGACGTTGAACAGTATACGAAATTAGAACTAGCACCTGTATTAATTAAGAGACGGAACGGTCAAGCGGTAGAGAGCTTGACTGCTAACCCGTAAGTCTCGAGTTAGAATCCGGTTTCATATGCCGAGGTCACAGAAACAAGTGAACTCTATTTCACTTGCCCTATAGACCTTCAGGTTTGAAAAGGTAACTTTACTTTTACCTGTAGTAATTGACTCACTTGAAAGTTTGCCACAATGGTAAGGCCAAATGCAGATATAAAGCCCAGGACTAGAGATGCTTTATTGATGTTTTCGTGCTTCCTTTTGGCACCTAAAAGCTTCAAAAGTTGAATCATCTGAATGTACCTGATGTAGACGTTAACGCCCACTAAGATGACAAGGGATACATATTTTAATGACTTATTTCTGAGAAATCAAAAGATAATAATGTTGTGAGATATGAATACCTTACTTACGCATTAGAGATCCCATGTTTACCAGTTGAGCAAAGATGCATCTCTCGGGTGCGTCAATAGCTGTATGGCTGGAAATACATTTGGCATACTTTATAAAACAACCTAGTTTATAATAGCAATAGATAAGCCTTGTATAGAGACAATGGGGCCCCTCCAGTCTAGATAAGCCTTGTATAGAGACCATGGGGCCCTCCAGTCTAGATAAGCCTTGTATAGAGACCATGGGGCACCTCCAGTCTAGATAAGCCTTGTATAGAGACCATGGGGCCCCTCCAGTCTAGACAAGCTTTGTATAGAGACAATGGGGCCCCTTAGTCTAGATAAGCCTTGTATAGAGACCATGGGGCCCCTCCAGTCTAGATAAGCCTTGTATAGAGACAATGGGGCCCCTCCAGTCTAGATAAGCCTTGTATAGAGACCATGGGGCCCCTCCAGTCTAGACAAGCTTTGTATAGAGACAATGGGGCCCCTTAGTCTAGATAAGCCTTGTATAGAGACCATGGGGCCCCTCCAGTCTAGATAAGCCTTGTATAGAGACAATGCGGCCCCTCCAGTCTAGATAAGCCTTGTATAGAGACAATGGGGCCCCTCCAGTCTAGACAAGCCTTGTATAGAGACAATGGGGCCCCTCCAGTCTAGATAAGCCTTGTATAGAGACCATGGGGCCCCTTAGTCTAGATAAGCCTTGTATAGAGACCATGGGGCCCCTCCAGTCTAGATAAGCCTTGTATAGAGACAATGGGGCCCCTCCAGTCTAGATAAGCCTTGTATAGAGACCATGGGGCCCCTCCAGTCTAGATAAGCCTTGTATAGAGACGGTGGGGTCTCTCCAGTCTAGACAAGCTTTGTATAGAGACAATGCGGCCCCTCCAGTCTAGATAAGCCTTGTATAGAGACCATGGGGCCCCTCCAGTCTAGACAAGCTTTGTATAGAGACAATGCGGCCCCTCCAGTCTAGATAAGCCTTGTATAGAGACAATGGGGCCCCTCCAGTCTAGATAAGCCTTGTATAGAGACCATGGGGCCCCTCCAGTCTAGATAAGCCTTGTATAGAGACCATGGGGCCCCTCCAGTCTAGACAAGCCTTGTATAGAGACAATGGGGCCCCTCCAGTCTAGATAAGCCTTGTATAGAGACCATGGGGCCCCTTAGTCTAGATAAGCCTTGTATAGAGACCATGGGGCCCCTCCAGTCTAGATAAGCCTTGTATAGAGACAATGGGGCCCCTCCAGTCTAGACAAGCCTTGTATAGAGACAATGGGGCCCCTCCAGTCTAGATAAGCCTTGTATAGAGACCATGGGGCCCCTTCAGTCTAGATAAGCCTTGTATAGAGACAATAGGGCCCCTTCAGTCTAGATAAGCCTTGTATAGAGACCATGGGGCCCCTCCAGTCTAGATAAGCCTTGTATAGAGACAATGGGGCCCCTCCAGTCTAGACAAGCCTTGTATAGAGACAATGGGGCCCCTCCAGTCTAGACAAGCCTTGTATAGAGACAATGGGGCCCCTCCAGTCTAGATAAGCCTTGTATAGAGACCATGGGGCCCCTCCAGTCTAGATAAGCCTTGTATAGAGACAATGGGGCCCCTTAGTCTAGATAAGCCTTGTATAGAGACCATGGGGCCCCTCCAGTCTAGATAAGCCTTGTATAGAGACAATGGGGCCCCTTCAGTCTAGATAAGCCTTGTATAGAGACAATGGGGCCCCTTGTGTCTAGATAAGCCTTGTATAGAGACCATGGGGCCCCTCCAGTCTAGATAAGCCTTGTATAGAGACAATGGGGCCCCTCCAGTCTAGATAAGCCTTGTATAGAGACAATGGGGCCCCTCCAGTCTAGATAAGCCTTGTATAGAGACAATGGGGCCCCTCCAGTCTAGATAAGCCTTGTATAGAGACAATGGGGCCCCTCCAGTCTAGATAAGCCTTGTATAGAGACCATGGGGCCCCTTGTGTCTAGATAAGCCTTGTATAGAGACCATGGGGCCCCTTAGTCTAGATAAGCCTTGTATAGAGACAATGGGGCCCCTCCAGTCTAGATAAGCCTTGTATAGAGACAATGGGGCCCCTCCAGTCTAGATAAGCCTTGTATAGAGACAATGGGGCCCCTTAGTCTAGATAAGCCTTGTATAGAGACCATGGGGCCCTCCAGTCTAGATAAGCCTTGTATAGAGACCATGGGGCCCCTCGAGTCTAGATAAGCCTTGTATAGAGACCATGGGGCCCTCCAGTCTAGATAAGCCTTGTATAGAGACCATGGGGCCCCTCCAGTCTAGATAAGCCTTGTATAGAGACCATGGGGCCCCTCCAGTCTAGATAAGCCTTGTATAGAGACCATGGGGCCCCTCGAGTCTAGATAAGCCTTGTATAGAGACCATGGGGCCCTCCAGTCTAGATAAGCCTTGTATAGAGACCATGGGGCCCCTCCAGTCTAGATAAGCCTTGTATAGAGACCATGGGGCCCCTCCAGTCTAGATAAGCCTTGTATAGAGACAATGGGGCCCCTCCAGTCAAGATAAGCCTTGTATAGAGACCATGGGGCACCTCCAGTCTAGATAAGCCTTGTATAGAGACCATGGGGCCCTCCAGTCTAGATAAGCCTTGTATAGAGACCATGGGGCCCCTCGAGTCTAGATAAGCCTTGTATAGAGACCATGGGGCCCCTCCAGTCTAGATAAGCCTTGTATAGAGACAATGGGGCCCCTCCAGTCTAGATAAGCCTTGTATAGAGACAATGGGGCCCCTCCAGTCTAGATAAGCCTTGTATAGAGACCATGGGGCCCCTCCAGTCTAGATAAGCCTTGTATAGAGACAATGGGGCCCCTCCAGTCTAGATAAGCCTTGTATAGAGACCATGGGGCCCCTTAGTCTAGATAAGCCTTGTATAGAGACCATGGGGCCCCTCCAGTCTAGATAAGCCTTGTATAGAGACAATGGGGCCCCTCCAGTCTAGACAAGCCTTGTATAGAGACAATGGGGCCCCTCCAGTCTAGATAAGCCTTGTATAGAGACAATGGGGCCCCTCCAGTCTAGATAAGCCTTGTATAGAGACCATGGGGCCCCTTCAGTCTAGATAAGCCTTGTATAGAGACAATAGGGCCCCTTCAGTCTAGATAAGCCTTGTATAGAGACCATGGGGCCCCTCCAGTCTAGATAAGCCTTGTATAGAGACAATGGGGCCCCTCCAGTCTAGACAAGCCTTGTATAGAGACAATGGGGCCCCTTAGTCTAGATAAGCCTTGTATAGAGACCATGGGGCCCCTTATGTCTAGATAAGCCTTGTATAGAGACAATGGGGCCCCTTAGTCTAGATAAGCCTTGTATAGAGACCATGGGGCCCTCCAGTCTAGATAAGCCTTGTATAGAGACCATGGGGCCCCTCGAGTCTAGATAAGCCTTGTATAGAGACCATGGGGCCCTCCAGTCTAGATAAGCCTTGTATAGAGACCATGGGGCCCCTCCAATCTAGATAAGCCTTGTATAGAGACCATGGGGCCCCTCCAGTCTAGATAAGCCTTGTATAGAGACAATGGGGCCCCTCCAGTCTAGATAAGCCTTGTATAGAGACAATGGGGCCCCTTCAGTCTAGATAAGCCTTGTATAGAGACCATGGGGCCCCTCCAGTCTAGATAAGCCTTGTATAGAGACAATGGGGCCCCTCCAGTCTAGATAAGCCTTGTATAGAGACAATGGGGCCCCTTCAGTCTAGATAAGCCTTGTATAGAGACAATGGGGCCCCTCCAGTCTAGATAAGCCTTGTATAGAGACCATGGGGCCCCTCCAGTCTAGATAAGCCTTGTATAGAGACAATGGGGCCCCTTAGTCTAGATAAGCCTTGTATAGAGACCATGGGGCCCCTCCAGTCTAGATAAGCCTTGTATAGAGACAATGGGGCCCCTCCAGTCTAGATAAGCCTTGTATAGAGACAATGGGGCCCCTTGTGTCTAGATAAGCCTTGTATAGAGACAATGGGGCCCCTTAGTCTAGATAAGCCTTGTATAGAGACCATGGGGCCCCTCCAGTCTAGATAAGCCTTGTATAGAGACAATGGGGCCCCTCCAGTCTAGATAAGCCTTGTATAGAGACAATGGGGCCCCTCCAGTCTAGATAAGCCTTGTATAGAGACAATGGGGCCCCTTAGTCTAGATAAGCCTTGTATAGAGACCATGGGGCCCCTCCAGTCTAGATAAGCCTTGTATAGAGACAATGGGGCCCCTTGTGTCTAGATAAGCCTTGTATAGAGACAATGGGGCCCCTCCAGTCTAGATAAGCCTTGTATAGAGACCATGGGGCCCCTCCAGTCTAGATAAGCCTTGTATAGAGACAATGGGGCCCCTCCAGTCTAGATAAGCCTTGTATAGAGACCATGGGGCCCCTCCAGTCTAGATAAGCCTTGTATAGAGACAATGGGGCCCCTCCAGTCTAGATAAGCCTTGTATAGAGACAATGGGGCCCCTTAGTCTAGATAAGCCTTGTATAGAGACCATGGGGCCCCTCCAGTCTAGATAAGCCTTGTATAGAGACCATGGGGCCCCTCCAGTCTAGATAAGCCTTGTATAGAGACAATGGGGCCCCTCCAGTCTAGATAAGCCTTGTATAGAGACGGTGGGGTCTCTTGCGTCCACCTAAAGTCCGAAAGCGATAAATTGTTTTCCTTATAGTTGCACCAAGTTGATTTTAGAGGACATTGCTGATATTCATCTAACAAGAATACATTCGACAAACAGCATCCAGGAAAGCCTGGGGAAAATTGGCACTAACACAGTGTATTCAACGGGCTAATGAAATAGGGAACTCAACATAAGAAAAAAACAACTGACAAAAAGATTATCAGAAACCGACCCATTCCATGGGTTTAAAAAAAAAAATTGAAGCCTATTTGCAAACAGAGGCCTATAGCTCTATGGTAGGAGTTTGTAATGAGGCTTACTATTGTAAGGTGTGAGATCAAACTTATATTGTAGGATCTTTAAGCTACATGGTAGGAGCAGAGGCGGAGCAAGAGGGGAAGGGGGAACCGCACCACACCATACGGGGGGGGGGGGGGAGTGACACCACGAGGAAACACAATGGTTAGTATTTTGTTAATATATTTTAAGAGAAAAAAGTGCAAAATTTCATCAAGAATAAAAGTAAGTATAACTCTTGCTATATTTTAATGATAAAACACATCGTCGACAGTAGAATTTGAAAAAAAAGGAATCATTTTCTGTTACACTTGGCTTCGTATGTATTATGGCTCTCTGTGCCACGTGTACCAAGATCAAATAGAACACAATCAACGACGAGAATATATTCCATTGAAATGTCATTTTCACCACAAGAAATGACAAAAACTGATACCACCAAACAACATTCGTCAATAAACTCTAAAAAAAAAAAAAAAAAAGGTTGAATCAATCGAGGGTAGATCAACCTCACGTGTACGACTTAGATTGTGAAAATAAAAAATAAAAAAGAATTGTAAATGAAGTTTCTTAAGAGAATATGCCAGTTTAAGAAAGTTTGAACGTGAAATTATCAAATATATTTGCCTCTATTGGACAAGACAATTGTTTATGCAATAAATAAATCAGGGTAACATGGAATCTCCGCGGAGAAGTTAAGACATGGAGAAAATGGCAAAAGAGAATGTAAATAATGCGGGTTGTCAGAAGAGAATGTACAGAAGAGAATGTAAATAATGCGGGTTGTCAGAAGAGAATGTACAGAAGAGAATGTAAATAATGCGGGTTGTCAGAAGAGAATGTACAGAAGAGAATGTAAATAATGCGGGTTGTCAGAAGAGAATGTACAGAAGAGAATGTAAATAATGCGGGTTGGCAGAAGAAAATGTAAATAATGCGGGTTGGCAGAAGAGAATGTAAATAATGCGGGTCTGGCAGAAGAGAATGTAAATATTGCGGATTGGCAGAAGAGAATGTAAATAATGCGGGTCTGGCAGAAGAGAATGTAAATAATGCGGGTTGGCAGAAGAGAATGTAAATAATGCGGGTTGGCAGAAGAGAATGTAAATAATGCGGGTCTGGCAGAAGAGAATGTAAATAATGCGGGTCTGGCAGACGAGAATGTGATCGCGAGCAATCAAAGAAGTAGCTGATAAGTTCGAACCTTTACAGCCAAGCGTTTAATCTCAGACACAAATGAAGAACTGCTGGTGTCTGTGCAAAAGCTAGACAACAAATGTCTAGAAAAGGCAAAGGATTGGTCAGTATTTGACTTTTTAAACTTTCAAGCTTAAAAATAAAATTAAAGAAACCAGGAGCGATCTCCCCTAAACTTTCTCGAATATTCTTATATAAACAGGGGGTGGCAACTCGGGATATAGACATGATTTTTAATCCATTTTAAATACTTAAACTTTTTAAAATAGACTAGAATTTCGTAAAAAAAAACTTTTGCGCACCAAGTGAACATCAAATAAAATGTGAATAATGGTGCGGAATATTATTATTACTTTACAAATTCACATGCGTTTTTTGAAAAATCGGAAATAGTTTAAATTACTACTTCCGGTTAACAAAAATTACTCAAAATTTGACAAAAGGTAGAGAATTAGATCTTTTACTTACGTGTGAAATTACGTTTATCTTTCTGAAATAGTACTCAAGTTATAGGCTTTTAAAAAATTCAAAGTAGAAAAAATTCCACTTCCGGTTATCGGAAATCGCTCAAACGTTGAAACGGATCTACGAGTTTGATATTATATTAATATATAAAATTTCATCAACCTAGCTGTAATGGTACTCAAGTTATCGTGTTTACAGACACACACACATACACACACACACACACACACAGACATACGGACAAGATTGCAAAACTATGTTTTTCCGACTCAGGAGGTGTAAAACGTCGATATTTGCAAAAATCTCGATTTTTTTTAGCCCGATTACAAGACTTTCCCAATTTTCCGTAAATACGAAAAAGTAAAAATGACAGTTTAATACTCAAATGTATTTTTAGTGCATGTCAAACCTTCACATTTTAAGCTAAAAAAGTTTCTTTATATAGGGCTTTTCTTACATTCAGATTTTCTTAGTGAAATCTATACATGCATATACATTAAAGCATGCATGTACATTAAAACACGCATATTCATATATATATATATATATATATATATATATATATATATAGAGAGAGAGAGAGAGAGAGAGAGAGAGAGAGAGAGAGAGAGAGAGAGAGAGAGAAGGTCGGAAAGGAGAGAGAGGAGAGGATAGAGGGAGAGAGAGAGAGAGTTTTGAGGGGGGCACCCGACCTCGCGGAACTTCAATGGTAGGAGCTTAAAATTCTAAAAAGAGAGATTAAAATGGTTGGACCTTAAAGTTCAATGATGGGAACCTAAAGCGCCATGGTTGGAACGTAAAGTTCAATGATGAGAGCTTAAAATTCTGAGATGGGAGCTTAAAGCGCCATGGTGGGACCGCAAGTTCAAAGACGAGAGCTCAAAGTTTAGTGGTGGGAGTCTAGTCACTAACCTGATGTATGGAAAGTCGTGTATTTCAACGTGCCCTTTAATAATAGCCGTGGCATACCTGTATGAGAAAAGATATTTCGTTAAATATGTAAGTATATAATATATATATATATATATATATATATATATATATATATATATATATATATATATATATATATATATATATATATATATATATGAAAGTTTGTGGGTTTGTCCTTTCCACATTACTACACCTTTCATCCGATTGCCATGAAACTTTGGGGAGTTGATGAGAATACTCCCGAGAGGGTTTCTGCGAAAACATTTTCGGTTCCTAAGAACTGATAATGGGCCGATAAAGGCCCATAATAAAAATTGGGAATACTGAATTTTGAAAAATCAGAGGAATTAACCAAGCTTAGATTATAGTGTACAAAATATTAACTTGGTTTTTTCCCTTGTTCAATGGGCCTACCATTCTTAAAATAAATATTCCTAATCAGTGGCGTAGCGAGGTCGGGTGTCACCCGGTGTGGCACTTAATGATGTCATTCCCCCCAGAGGCGTAAGGACCCTTCCCGGGACAAACTTTCAAGTTTTCAATTTGCACCCCCCCCCCTCAAACTTTCGATTTGCACCCCCCCCTCAAACTTTCTATTTGCACCCCTCCCCCCTCAAGTTTTTCTCTATTTATTTTGCTATTTTTTGCCTTGGTGTCACCCCCCCCCCCCAAATGGTGTCACCCGGTGCGGTCCGCACCCCCGCCCCCTTGCTACGCCCCTGTTCCTAATACCTTAAGTAAAAATCGTGTTTCGTCAGAAAAGTTACATTGCTAAAAATAGCAAGTGCTGATCTATCTATGCATATCAAAATGAAGGTATGTTTGTTTCTCTGTGTGTTTGTCTTTTATGCATTACTCCTTCCTTTGGGAAGTTGTTAAGAATACTGTTTGGGAGGTTTCTACGGGAAAAATATTTTGTAGTGGGGGGCAAATGATTAAGCCGAACCAGGTGCCGTAAACGGTACCCCTTCGGTCGTGTAACCGGTGGCTCCCCAGTGCGCTTCGCAACAACCCTGACAAATGGGCGGTCGCCGAAGTGTGTCTTCCTAACTATTACAGAGGGTGACTCAAGGAATTCATACAACAACTCAGATGCAAGAAATACAGCACCTGTTGTGTTTTTTACACTAAAATTACTTAAAATTTAAATAACATCTAAAAAATACACAATTGATAACGCATAGATATAAATCTTAAGGTTTTGTACCAGCAAGCGACAGCGCGCTGGACGGAATTGCTGGTTACTTAATAAATAATTTATAACTTTATGCAAAAAATTAATAGTAAAATTGCTGCATACAATATTGATAAACAGGTTTCGAAATAGTTAATTTAGCCTTAGCGCCATTGGTAAATAATTCAGTTGATACTTGTTGAGGCAATCGTAATTCATGATCTATTCACTATAAACTATAAACCATAGGCCTAGCTATAAGGTTTTCAACATTCGCCTAGCTATGATCCCAACATTAACCTAGCTATAAGGTCCCAACATTGACCTAGCCATAAGGTCCCAACATTGACCAAGCTATGCTCCCAACATTGACCTAGCTATGATCCCAACATTAACCTAGCTATAAGGTCCCAACATTGACCTAGCTATAAGGTCCCAACATTGACCTAGCTATAAGGTCCCAACATTGACCTAGCTATGATCCCAACATTAACCTAGCTATAAGGTCCCAACACTGACCTAGCTATAAGGTCCCAACACTGACCTAGCTATAAGGTCCCAACACTGACCTAGCTATAAGGACCCAACATTGACCTAGCTATAAGGTCCCAACATTGACCTAGCTATGATCCCAACATTGACCTAGCTATTCTCCCAACATTGACCTAGCTATGCTCCCAACATTGACCTAGCTATAAGGTCCCAACATTGACCTAGCTATGCTCCCAACACTGACCTAGCTATAAGGTCCCAACACTGACCTAGCTATAAGGTCCCAACACTGACCTAGCTATAAGGACCCAACATTGACCTAGCTATAAGGACCCAACATTGACCTAGCTATAAGGTCCCAACATTGACCTAGCTATGATCCCAACATTGACCTAGCTATTCTCCCAACATTGACCTAGCTATGCTCCCAACATTGACCTAGCTATAAGGTCCCAACATTGACCTAGCTATGCTCCCAACATTGACCTATAAGGTACCAAAGCCCAAATTATATGGTGGGGTACTCACGAGATAAAAAACGAGCTTATAATCCAGAAAGCAGTAAGTATGGGCAGGTAGTGAATGCGCCGCCTCAGGATCATAATTAGAAATGGCATCTTTCTTTTTATCCCGAACTGTAGAAGAAAAATTATCTAGATTTACTATGTTTAAATAATAGAAATAATAATAAGTTCTAGCCATGTTTTTTTTACAAGTATAATAGTACTCACAAAATCATAACTTAAATGTTGCTTATAAAGGCATGTTTTAGAAATAAATAAAAAATATTTTGAATAAAACACTTATTAGAGTTTGGGCTTTCTAAAAAGCAAACGTAAAGTCCAAGTTTAGTAATCTGAAATAAGCATTTAAGAGAACACAGGGCTACTTGCCCAAAGAAATGTATTGTTTTAAAATGAGCGCAAAGATTTCAGTAAGACAAAAATAGAAACCAATAGTAGCAAAAGGAAATCCCCGAAACTTGTTTAGACGTGCTAAAAAATCAACGAGTTCAATCTTGCACTGTTGCTACCGGCTATACCGTGCCGGAAGTCACTCGTGCCTTGAGCGGCGACGACACTATCCCATACAGAGAAAAGTAGTATCCGGACGCTGTACTTCAGGAGAGACTCTAAGCGGCCGAGAAAGAAACTGCTCAATAAAATAAATTAAATTTGTAGTAAAAGTTGTAGACCATTTTCTGTAATAAGAACGTTTGATTGATACTATATCATACAATTTTAGGTAGCTATTTCCTAGTTGTAAGGAAGGGCTTATTGAGGGGGGGGGGGGCGCCAACTGGTAGACTAACCCAAACAAAATTTCACTATACAATTTGTTTTATAAAATGTTTTTAATGATGTCATGAAGTTTGAATAGTTTCAAATTGAACGATGAAATAGAAAGCTGTTCCTATAAATACTTCTATATACTTTTCTAATTTATTCCGATTTAGCTTTTTATGCGAAATCTCGTGATTCCGGCGAGTTTTTTTTCCCGGCTGACGTTTTAAAGACATTAACAGAGTATTGAAGCTTTCAGATTGTTCTTAGTCATTTTGAGACGAGTCATTCAAAACGCATAAAATAGATATGGAGTTCTTTCGTCGGCATTAAGCTAGTTGCAACGTCAGAGATCAGGAAGTTTTCACCAAGGAACATAGCATTAGTGCAAACAACATGAAGTCGCATTACAGAACATCTCATCAAACCCTGCACGTTGAAGATGAAACAAAGACCTATGTCTAATAATACTATTCAGCGGCGAATAGCAGATATGTCCTTAGATGTTAAAGAACAAATTTTGAATGAAATCAAGCTCTCACTATTGTTTGCTTTTCAATTTGATGAGTCTACAGAAGTGAGTTCGTTTTCGCAGTTGCTTGTCTTTGTGAAATATATTGATTTCAGAAAAAAGTAAAAAAAGTAGCTACCCGATCAAGGAAAATCCTCTGCATGATTTACCGATATGCCCTCACTAGAAAGACACTTCCGACTACTTTGCTAGAGGCACTTAATTCGATAGCAAAAGTCGTAAACTATTTTAAAACTGCAGCCCTAAACACCCGTCTGTGTGCAAAGACATGAAGCTGTCTGTCAAAAGGAAATCGTGTTTTTAATTAAACGATGAAATCTAGTTTGTGTTTGGAAACAAGACCTTTTGATATACTTTAACGACAAATAAAGTAGGCATACAATTGCTAAACCGAAAAGTCTCGAGTTCGAATCCTCGGGCAGATGAGGCTCGTTAGCTGGGACAGCCACTCTTCTAGGAGAGACAACTCCAAAATCAAACAACTTCTGCTTTGTAGTTTGTTCTCGGTTGGACAAAGGCTATGGAAGTAAATCCAAAAAAAGCAGGCTGAAATCAGAGTCAGTGGCCTCAATGGCGCATAACCAGTTGACACGTATACTTAATTGAGCTGGAGGGGAACCCTTCCAACACTAAAATTAAGAATACAGAAGAAGAAGGAGGAATACACTTAAGTCAATTCCGACGTCAGATTGCATTGTCATTGAGTCCTAACACACGAGCCAAGTTTTAAACAAATCTGTCACTTAAATCACAGTTCAGACGATTTAAGTAACAATAGCTTTGTATAGATAATCTTTGATGAATGACGTCATTCTTTAGTAAGGGTGGGTTAGACTTTAGTGACAGCTATGAAGGGGACAGGTTCAGAAAGTGTGGCGTTATTTAATGGTTTAAAATTGTAAACTACCATTCTATTAATAACTTAGAAAGAAATAGCTGTTTCAGAAATCAGACAGATTATAATTATCTCCATGTAAAGAGATTTTAATTGTGTCTGTATAAAAAGGATATAATTAATTTCAGGTGACTAGTTTTCACACTGAAAAGCGTTTGGTAGTGAAATTAAAACGAAATATCTATTCTGATTTGACTGTGGGCGATTCCATCAGTTAATGTATTTAAATAAAGTTTCATTCACTAGTATTAAGATGAATAAAGTGCCTATTTTCTTCACGCTTGTCTCATAATTGTCCTTTATCTTATAAGATAACATTGTCAGTAAATATTAAAAGTAATTTCCACAAAACTGACGTTTATCGTTCGCAGTTAAATCAAATGAAATAGTACATCTTATTTACAGAAGTCCCTATAATTTATAATACCTTAAATAGCCGTACTTCACAATTTTTGAGCTGTTTCAATATAAAGTTTTGATATAAGTTATTCTGAATGTTTGTAAACTAGCAGACCGTCTGATATATTCAGCTTATCCATTGTCACATGATCGGTCTGTAACATGCCAATGAAATGATTTAATTTTCCAGCTCATTATACACAGCCAAAAGTAGGTCAGTCAGAACTCACTGCACCAGCCAGCCGTGTTGCTCTTGTTACTGTGAGTAATGCCCGAGCCGGATGAACAAAACACACAACTTCTCTGACGACTGGGAGTGTTTTGGATGGAAAAAAAACGTCTACACAAATCAACAATTATTTCTAAAATAGCAAGCCATTATTTTATTTGCTGTAAATGTATCATCATTTTACAAAATTTGATAAATGACGAAAACAGAAAATGACGAAGTAGTTTAAAGCAAGGCTAAACATTTGAAGCGGGGGTCAAGGTTGAGTTTATTTTTATAAAGGTCAAGACAATCAGGACAGTAGATGTTAAGAATACGAGCAGCTTAAAAAGCCTCCATTATACATATATATCTATCCATCTGTATAAAAAGCAATATGTGTTTGTTTGTGTGTGTGTCTGTGTGTGTGTGTGTGTGTTTTTGTCTTTTATACACTACTACACCTTTCATCCGATCGCCATGAAACTTTAAGAAGTTGTTGAGAATAATCCTGGGGAGGTTTCTGCGGGAAAAAAATGTCAAATTCCTAGGGGTGGGGGGCCCCGGGAGGGTGCGATTTGTTTTATCTCTATATACGGTAAATAAAAATAAAAGTCGGTTGCGGTTTCACACCGTTCATCCGATTGCCATCAAACATTGGGGAAGTATTTTAGAATGCTCCAGGGAAAGTTTTTGCAGAAAAAAAATCTTTTTAATTTCACAAGGGTGACGCCATGGGAGGGTGCGATTTTTTAAACAGAAAACCCTCTAGAAATATTTCTTTTTGAATTTTCAAACTTTGGTATGGTGAAAGATCTTTAAAACAATGCAAAATTTCACCACACATTTTTTAAAAATAAAATTTGAAAAAAATATTTCAAGAGGTTTTTCTGTTTAAAAAACTAGCCAGATGACTCTATTAGTGTTAGTAAAAGAAGGATCAATGATTATATGGCCTATATATATAAATAGATATGTTAGTTAATGGAATTTAGAACTCCACAAAAGGTTCTTTTTTTCAAGATGGCCGCCGTTACAATGGCAACGCTATTTTCAAAAGAGCCCCTGACGCATGCACATATTTCTCCTTAAGTTAAGTATCTTAGCTTATATATAAACAAATAAATAAAAAAGGCTCATTATTTAAAAAGTTTTTTCCCCGTTTTCAGTGATCTCCCCTAAACTTTCTCGAATATTCTTAAATAAAACAACAGGGGATGGGAACTCCATTTTAAATAGGCCTACTTAAAGTAGAAAAAAGAATTGCACACCAAGTGAACGCCAAATGAAATGTGCATAATAGTGCGCAATATTATTAGTACTTTATAAATTTACATGCGTTTTTTGAGAAAACGGAAATTGCGTAAATTAGTACTTCCGGTCAACGGAAATTACTTAAAATTTGACAGAATGTAGACAATTAGATCTTTTACTTACATGTGACATTTCATGTATCTATCTGAAATAATACTCAAGTTATAGGCTTTTGAAAAATTCAAAGTAGAAAAAGTACCACTTCCGGTTATCGGAAATAGCTCAAAAGTTGATACGGATCTACGATTTTGATAAAATACTTATGTATGAAATTTCATCAACCTAGATGTAACGGTACTCAAGTTATCGTGTTTACACACAGACAGACACACACACACATATATACATACTGACAAGATTGCAAAATTATGTTTTTCCGTATCAGTGAGGTGTAAAACGTCGAGATTTGTAAAAATCTCGATTTTTTTTTTGCACGATTACAAGACTTTCTCTATACTTCGTATATACGAGAAAGTAAAATAGAAACAGCCTTTTCAAGTTCCAATAATAGTAATATGCGCTTAAAATTGTTTAACAACGTTTCAAGCGTATTACACAATTGTTTTTTTTTTGTCTCTGTTCCTTTAGTTTACTGCATTTGTCTGGATTATAAAAGCGATTAGCGGAGGAAATCAATTGTGTAGCTCCATCTCGCACACTTGGAATATATGACTCGACATGCTGCAGCACATACGGTCAAATGTGTTAGCCATATTGTAGATAGGTGCCTTCATTAATCAACTGTTTGATTACAGTTGCCGATCATATTGTAGATAGGTGTCTTCATTAATCAAATGCTTGATTACAGTTGCCGATCACAAAATAAATGCATTCATAATCAACATTCAGAAAAGACCAACAGATAAACAACGGTGAGGTACACAGGCTGACGGCAATATAGGCGTATAAACGCCGATCACAAGACAGGTGCATCAATTAAAGCTTCATTAGTTAGTCATCGCGTCATTTCCTTGCCCTTTCCATTAATTCTCGTATAGGAAGTA